TTTTGAGACAGGGTTTCTCTGTGTAGTTTTGGTGCCTGTCCTGGATTCCTGGATCTCGCTCTGTAGATCAGGCTGGCCTCGAACTCACAAAGATTTGCCTGGCTTTGCCTCCCAAGTGCTGGGATTAAAGGTGTGCACCACCACTGCCCGGCTAGAATATTTATTTTTATTATTATTATTATTATTATTATTATTATTATTATTATTATTCGGCAATTTCATCTCCCAATCCCAGCTTCATGTCCTGTCCTTTTCTTTTCTTTCTTTCTTTCTTTTTTTTTTTTTTTTTTTTTTGTGTGTGTGTGTAACCTACTGAGCCCGTCAGTGCTGCCTATGGGAATGCTGACGAGGTGGTGGGCTTGATCTTGTGTGGGTCTTGTGCAGGTCCCCACAGCCGTGATGAGTGCAATGGTCATGTCATATCCAGTAGACACATTTACAGCACTCCTCCCTGTCCTCCAGCTCTTCCGTTCTTTCTGCCTCTTCTTCTGCGATGTCCTATGAGCCTTAGGGTAGGGGAGTGTTCTTATAGATGCCCCGGTTTGGGCTGAGTACTCGAAGCTGCTTGTTCTCAGCACTTTGACCGGTTATAAGTCTGCCGTGTCTGATGATAACTGCGGAGAGATGCTTTTACGGCTAAGGTTGAAGGCAGCACTAACTTATGTATATAAACATAAATATTTAGAAAGTGGGGTGACAACCCGTCCATTCAGCAAGACCACGGTAGAATGTTCCCTCCAGGGCTGTGACCTCCTGAGCTATGGGTATTTATACCAGGCATAACTTCCCTCTGATAGAGTAGGCCTCAAATTCAACCCAAAGCTGTTGGCTGCCCCCATAACCTGTGTACCACTTTTGCATTGATAGGCGCATCTTGTCTGGTAGGTTGGTATTATAGCATGTAGAGGTTCCCACGGGGTAATACTGCTGATGACTTTCCTCCTCCAGAGGCCTTCAGAGTACCTTCTGGCACTATAAAAGCTAGGAGGAAGTTTCCAGGTCAGTTCCAACTGGATTTCTCTGTGTCCTGCAACCAATATGTGTTGTGTCATTAGTAATTGGATCTAACCATCTAGTTATGGTGGGCAACTAAGAGTCTGTGTTGTTGGGGTGGAGGGCCTCAGGGGCCTCCTTATCCACTACTCATAGGGAGATGTCCCATGCCCAACCCTGAGATTCCTATTTAATGGCATGTCTTCTGGGGGAATTATCATCCACCCTGCAGGGTAGCTGCATTCAGACTCCTCCTTTAAAAATGTTTTCAATTAGTTCACAAAGCTGTGGGTCTCCATACATTCTTAGTTTTGTCTAGCTAACCCTAACTCACCCTTCCCCTGTATTTCCAGTTTTTGATTGTAATGGATATTGTTGATGTAACCATTCATATGTAAGTTTTTGTGTAGACATTGATTTTATTTCTTTCTGGTGTATGCATGACAGTAGAATTTCCAGGTCACATGATAACTGTTTAACTTCTGAGGACCTCCCAGGCTGCTCTCCAACACACTACCCCAATTCATATCCCTGTATACATCCTTCCAATTTTTCCATCTTTTCATTAGTATTTGTTAGCTTCCTCTAAAAAATGTTTTTATGTATATGGGTGTTTTGCCTGTATATATGTATGTATGTGCAACATGTGTGCCTGGTGCCAGTGGAGGCCAGAAGGAGGTACCAGATTCCCCTGGACCTGGAGTTAGAGACCATGCGAACATGTGGGTACTCTAAATCAAATCTGGGTCCTCTAGGAGAGCAGCCAGTGACCTTAACTGCCAAGCCGGCTCTCTAGTCCCTAGGTGCCTTTTAAATTGTAGCTATCCTAGTGATTGTGAAGTGACTGTGTGTGTGTGTGTGTGTGTGTGTGTGTGTGTGTGTGTGTGTGTGTGT